CATTCTTTTGGGTCTTTTGTATTTTACAGAAATACTAAAATTAGCCATAAACTTTGTAAGTTTGAAAACACAGGAAGACACAGCTCACAACTGATCAAGTCCCCAGAGTATTTCCACACTGCGGGCTGCTAGTGTAGTGAACAGGTAGCAGAGCCAGTGCGTGCGTGTTGACTTCAAGAATTTCTAAGGAATGAAGGAGGGGCAGGAAACTGCCAAGACCAAAAACTTGTGGTTGCTGGATGGTAAGTATTTTGCATACCTTCTCTCACTTCATCCTTATATCACCCTTGTGGGATTGGAACCATTGCCCTCACTTACTGTTGAGGAAGTTAAGGAACTGAGCTCGTAGGGGCCAGAGTTAATAAGTGCTGGAAGAGAATTCAAACCTGGTTCTATCAGATCCCACAGTCTATATTCTGGGTTTAAAAAAATTATTCCACAGTATCTGCTAGAATCAGTCACATAGCTGATTTATGAACGTAAGAGAGCGGGTAAATGATAAATAGTGGGTAGGGAAGAAATATTCCTGAAATGTCTACTATGTGCCATGAACTTCATTAGAGCATAAATTTAATCTTCCTAAGAACCCTCTGAAGTATTTGTTATTATCTCAGTTTTAGATGTGAGTTAGCTGAGGCTTGTGGAGGTTCACTAGTTGATGAGGGTATGTAACCAGCTAAGTAGTTGAATTAGGATTTGACACTTGTGCTGTCTGACCCTGAAGCATGATATCCTTTTATCATAATAATACTATTCTGCCTGGATACAGGCACACTAAATACGCATCCCAGCTCTGCCCCTTATTAGTGACTCAGCCAGTTGTTAAGACTTTCCAGGCCCCAATTTCTCATCTGTAAAATGACAGATGCTCCATCTATTTCAGAGGCTCATTGGGAGCAGCACAAGATAAAAGTCTGTGAAGGGATTTTGAAGAGTTAATAAATTATTAAAAATACAGCAGGGATTGTAAGAATATTAGAGTGAGGAGTTACTAATGTTTGGCAAGATCTGAAAAGATCCAAAGACAAGCCATGTCCTGTAGCTGGTTATGTGTGATTGGAGAAAGATTATTCACTAATTTTCTAGGAAGGAAAACTCTCTGTTTTTTTTTTTTAGTCAGCACTGAAGCAAGGGTAGAGAAGAGGAAATTTTATGGCACATAGGCAAAGTTCTTTTTTTTTTTAAACTGGGATTCTTGGATGTAATTTATGGTCCTATATCTGGATTGCGCCCATATTACATGTAAACACTGGTACCAAGAATCTATTAGAGATCCTTATAAGAAACAAAAACACCTACCAAAAGCTGTATGATTAGTTTATTTTTGAAATGTAAACTATTGAAATGAAGTTCACTAATAAACTTAGAAATTAAGTTATGACACAACAAAAATGAATTAAGCAATTAAATCTTCTGCTGTATAATCAGGATTATAATAGCAGTGATATGGTTTGGCTGTGTCCCCACGCAAATCTCATCTTGAACTCCCATGTGTTGTGGGAGGGACTCAGTGAGAGGTAATTGAATCATGTGGGGGCAGGTCTTTGCCATGCTGTTTTCGTGACTGTGAATAAGTCTCATGAGATCTGATGGTTATTATAAGGGGCAGTTTTCTTGCACATTCTCTTTTTGCCTGCTGCCATCCATGTGAGATGTCATGTGCTCCACCTTGCCTTTGGCCATGATAGTGAGGCTTCCCCAGCCACATGGAACTATAAGTCCAATTAAACCCTTTTTCCTGTATAAATTACCCAGTCTTGGGTATGTCTTTATCAGCAGTATGAAAATGGACTAATACAGTAAATTGGTATCAGCAGAGTGGGGCGCTGCTGAAAAAATACCCAAAAATGTGGATGCAAATTTGGAACTGGGTAACAGGCAGAGGGTGGAACAATTTAGTGGGTTCAGAAGAAGACAGGAATATATGGGAAAGTTTGGAACTTCGTAGAGACTTGTTGAATGACTTTAACAAAAAATAGTTTTTTTTTGATAGTAATATGAACAATAAGGTCCAGGCTGAGGTGGTCTCAGATGGAGATGAGGAACTTGTTGATAACTGGAGCAAAGGTGACTCTTATTATATTTTAGCAAAGAGACTGGTGGCATTTTGCCCCTACCCTAGAGATCTGTGGAACTTTGAACTTAAGATAGATGATTTAGGATATCTGGCAGAAAAAATTTCTAGGCAGCAAAGCACTCAAGAGGTAACTTGGGTGCTGTTAAAGGCATTCAGTTTCAAAAGAGAAACAGAGAATAAAAGTTTGGAAAATTTGCAGCCTGACAATGCGATAGAAAAGAAAATCCCATTTTCTGGGGAGAAATTCAAGCTGGCTGCAGAAATTTGCATAAGCAATGAGGAGCTGAATGTTAATCATCAAGACAATGGGGAAAATGTTTCCAGGGCATGTCGGAGACTTTTGCAGCAGCCCCTCCATCACAGGCCTGAATGTTTAGGAGGAAAAAATGGTTTTGTGGGTGATGCCCAGGATCCCCATGTTGTGCACAGTCTAGGGACTCAGTGCCCTGTGTCCCAGCCACTCCAGTCATAACTGAAAGGAGCCAAGGTACAACTTGGGTTGTTGCTTCAGAGGGTGGAAGTCTCAAGTCTTGGAAGCTTCCATACGGTGTTGAGCTTGTAGGTGCACAGAAGTCAAGAACTGAGGTTTGGGGATCCCTGCCTAGATTTCAGAAGATGTATGGAAGTGCCTGGATGCCCAGGCAAAAGTTTGCTGCAGGGGCGGGGCCCTCATGGAGAACCCCTGCTAGGGCAGTGCAAAAGGAAGATGTGGGGTTGGGGTCCCCACATGTAGTCCCCACTAGGCTACTGCCTACTGGAGCTGTGAGAAGAGGGCCACCATCCTTCAGGCCCCAGAATGGTAGATCCAACGACAGCTTACACTGGAAGCTTCAGACACTCATCACCAGCCCATGAAAACAGCCAGGAGGGAGGCTGTATCCTGCAAAGTCACAGGAGCAGAGCTTGTGTCCTTAATGGGGCACCATGTAGTGGAGATGTGAGAAGAGGAGCACCATCCTTCAGACCACAGAATGGTAGATCCACCAACAGCTTACACCATGTGCCTGGAAAAGCTGCAGACACTCAATGCCAGCCTATGAAAACAGCCGGGAGGGGAGCCATACCCTGCAAAACCACAGGGTTTGAACTGCCTAAGGCTATGGGAACCCACTTCTTGCATCTGCATGACCTGGATATGAGTCACGGAGTCAATGGAGATCATTTTGGAGCTTTAGGATTTCACTGTCCTGCTGGATTTCAGACTTGTTTTGGCCAATGTCTTCCATTTGGAATGGCTGTATTTATCCAATACCTGTACCCCCACTGTATCAAGGATGTAACTAACATGCTTGTGATTTTACAGGTTCATAGGCAGACGGGACTTGCCTTGTCTCGGATGAGACTTTGGACTCTGGATTTTTGAGTTAATGCTGAAATGAGTTAAGACTTTGGGGGACTGTTGAGAAGGAATGATTGATTTTGAAATGTGAGGATATGAGATTTGGGAGAGTCAGGGGTGGACTGATATGGTTTGGCTGTGTCACCATCCAAATCTCATTTCAAATTCCCACGTGTTGTGGGAGGGACCTGGTGGGAGGTAATTGAAGCATGGGGGCTTTCCTGTGCTGTTCTCGTGATAGTGAGTAAGTCTCATGAGATCTGATAGTTATTATAAGGGGGAGTTTTCCTGCATATTGTCTTTTTGCCTGCTGCCATCTATGTAAGACATGACATGTTCCTCCTTGTCTTCTGCCATGATTGTGAGGTTTCCCCAGCTATGTGCAACTGTACATCTAATTAAACTCTTTTCCCTGTATATTTTACCCAGTCTTGGGTATGTCTTTATTGGCAGCATGAAAACGGACTAATACAAGCAGTTATCTGAGAGATCAATATATGAAACTGGCAAAAGACACAAATACTTGGAAAATATATATATATAGTCATTGCAAAACCATCTCAAAGAATCTAAGCTATGATTTGTATGCAACTATCAAATTAAATGACTGATATTCAGTGAGACCAGAGATTGTAAGTTAATGTCATTGGTGCAAGAATAAACTAGAATATGAGTATAATTTTCTCTCGCCCCATGTAATAGAAAATGTTAGAGAATTAATGAGAATATTTTTTATATAGGGTTTTTAAAAGCTAGGCTGAAGTCATAAGACCACAGGACAGTTGATTGACACAGATAATAGTAATAACAACAAAAACAAGAACAATAATGCTGATTAAACACTTAATATATGCCACACTCTACTCAGACTTTTTCATATGTTATTTAATTTTTTAAAACAGCAGCTATGTGAAGATAGTATTATTATTCACTTCATATAGATGGGGAAACTGACTGCAAAGACATGAAGTAAATTGCCCAAGGTCACAGTTTGCAAGAGGAAGAGCGAGAAATTGAGTCCAGATCCTAGTGACTAGAGGTTGGTAACTACCACCCAGAAGAAGTTAAGTTAGAGGTCCCTATTCAATTTTCTTGTTTCTCCTACCCTTCCTCTTTACCACCAAAGACCAAGGTTCTGCAGGAGTACAGGAGGGCATATTTTCTCTCATCACTTTGAAATAAAAACAATGGGAAAGCAGGTAAAGGAAATGGAATAGAACAAATCAAACATCAGCTGAGCCAAAACTTCATTCTTACACCAGGATTCACACAGCTTTCTGCCCTACTTTGTCCTCACTATCCACCTCAATTTTTATTAAAGAGAAATTTAAACAATTGTAACTATTTTTTTTCCTGAGAAATTTAAGGACTAAAAGTGCAGATCATTCTGAGAGCACTAAGTCTAAAAATGAAAATTCCCATTCACTTTCTAGTAACAACTCAGCTTCCCTTCATCCCTATTAGCAGTTAATTGGTCAAGGGCCAAGGAGTAAAGTTCTTTGAGAGAACATTCCTGGCAACTATGCAACCTGACACACCTTACATGTAATGTTGTAGATTTTCAAAGGCTTTTATGTGACTCACCTCTACCAAGACATCCGTGGAGTTATTTTCCACAATCATGGGGATTTCCGGTTTAGCTTAAAGGCAAATAAAACATAGTTAGTGACACCAAATGTCATCCTACCTGGCCACTAGTGTGTGTATGTGTGTGTGTGTCTATGAGAATCTTCATTCATCAAATATTAATATTTATTAATATTCATAAATTAATATTTATTAATATAATACTGCCAGGCCTGCTGTGTACCTGGCAGTATGCTAGATGCCTAGGAAACAAAGGTGGACAAATAGTATTCACTGTTTTTAAGAAATCTGCAATTTCTTGGGAATACAGATAAACAAACTGGAAGTTATAATACACTGAGATAAGTACAATGATTAAGGACATGTAGTATTTGAAGACAGCTTTTAAATAAATTTTTTAACCTAACCTTGGAGGATAGGAGGAGGCTTTTGGAAGATGTGATGTGGTTACCAGCGATGAGTTAAGTAAAATTGGGAATGTGGAAGACTGGTAGTACAAGCGGAGGATGGGTGGTGAGGAGGGAGAGAAAAGAGGAATGTTCTACATGCACAAAGGCTTATGATATGGTTGGACTGTATCCCCACTCAAATCTCAACTTGAATTGTATCTCCCAGAATTCCCATGTGTTGTGGAAGGGACCTGGTGAGAGGTAATTGAATCATGGGGGCTGGTCTTTCCTATGCTATTCTTGTGATAGTGAATAAGTTTCATGAGATCTGATGGGTCTATCAGGGGTTTCCGCCTTTGCTTCTCCTCATTTTTCTCTTCCCATTGCCGTGTAAGAAGTGCCTTTCACCTCCCACCACAATTCTGAGGCCTCCGCGGTCATGTGGAACTGTAAGTCCAATTAAACCTCTTTTTCTTCCCAGTCTTGGGTATGTCTTTATCAGCAGTGTGAAAACAGACTAATACAGTAAATTAGTACCACCACAGTGGAGTGTTGCTGAAAAGATATCCAAAAATGTGGATGTGACTTTGGCACTGGGTAACAGGCAGAGGTTGAAACAGTTTGGAGGGCTCAGAAGAAGAGAAGAAAATGTTGTAAAGTTTGGAACCTCCTAGAGATTTGTTGTATCACTTTGACAAAAATGCTGATGTTGATATGAACAATAAGGTCGAGGCTGAGGTGGTCTCAGATAGAGATGAGGAACTTGTTGGGAACTGGAGCAAAGGTGACTTGATATATTTTAGCAAAGAGACTGGCAGCATTTTGCCCCTGGCCTAGAGATTTGCGGAACTTTGAACTTAAGAGAGATGATTTAGGGTGTCTGGGGGAAGAAATTTCTAAGCAGCAAAGCATTCAAGAGGTGTCTTGGGTGCTGTTAAAGGCATTCAGCTTTATAAGGGAAGCAGAGCATAAAAGTTTGGAAAATTTGCAGCCTGACTACAGGATAGAAAAGAGAAACCCATTTTCTGGGGAGAAATTCAAGCTGGCTGCAGAAATTTGCATAAGTAGGAAGGAGCCTAATGTTAATCTCCGAGACCATGGGAAAAATGTCTCCAGGCTATGCCAGAGACCTTCACAGCAGCCCCTCCCATCACAGGCCCAGAGACCCAGGAGGAAAAAATGGTTTCCTGGGCTGGGTCCAGGGTCCCCTTGCTGTGTGCAGCCTCGAGACTTGGTGCCCTGTGTCCCAGCCACTCCAGCTATGGTTGAAAGGGGCCAATGTGCAGCTTTAGCTGTTGCTTCAAAAAGTGTGGAAGCCCCAAGCCTTGGCAGCTTCCACGTGGTGTTGAGCCTGTGGGTGCAGAGAAGTCAAGAACTGAGGTTTGGGAACCTCCGCCTGGATTTCAGAAGATTTATGGAAATGTCTGAATACCCAGCAAAAGTTTGCTACAAGGGTGGGGCCCTCATGAAGAACCTCTGTTAGGGCAGTGCAGAAGGGAAATGGGGGGTCGAAGCCCCCACACAGCTCCCTAATGGAGCACTGACTAGTGGACCTGTGAGAAGAGGGCCACCATCCTCCAGACTCCAGTATGGTAGGTCCACCAACAGATTGCACTGTGCTCCTGAAAAAGCTGAAGACACTCAACACTAGCCCATGAAAGCAGCCAGGAGGGAGGCTGTACCCTGTAAAGCCACAGGGATGGAACTGCCTAAGATCATGGGAACCTACCTCTTGCATCTGTGTGACCCGAATGCAAGACATAGAGTCAAAGGAGATCATTCTGGAACTTTAAGAGTTGACTGCCCTGCTGGATTTTGGACTTGCATGGGGCCTGTAGCCCCTTTGTTTTGGCCAATTTCTCCCATTTAGAATGGTTGTATTTACCCAATGCTTGTACCCTCATTATATCTAGAAAGAAACTAACTTGCTTTTGATTTTACAGGATCATAGGCAGAAGGGACTTGCCTTGTCTCAGATGGGATTTTGGACGTGGACTTTTGGGTTAATGCTGAAATGGGTTGAGAATTTGGGGGACTGTTGGGAAGACATGATTGATTTTGAAATGTGAGGACATGAGATTTGGGATGGGTCAGGGGTGAAATTACATGGCTTGACTGTGTCCCTACCCAAATCTCAACTTGAATTGTGTCTCCCAGAATTCCAACGTGTTGTGGAAGGGACCTGATGGGAGGTAACTGAATCATGAGGGCCGGTCTTTCCCATGGTATTCTCATGACAGTGAATAAGTCTCACGAGATCTAATGGGTTTAACAGGCATTTCTGCTTTTGATTCTCCTCATTTTTCTGTTGCTGGGAAGAAATATGCTGGGTTTAGGGCATGTGGAATAGGTCTGTGATACATTTGGGTGTTGATTTCAAAGTTTTCATGGGTGTTTTGGGGAGACTTATTCTATATGAGGAATCATCAATGGATGTAAAATAGGTTCTGATAAGATATGTGGTCAGGGCCACAATATATACTTGGGTAACACCTCAAAGTAGGTTAAGGACTGGATAAGACTCCACCCAAACACAACCCTTCCAGCCAATTTACTAAATGCAAAAGCCAGGAAGAAGTGCCTTTCACCTCCCGCCATGATTCTGAGGGCTCCACAGCCATGTGGAACTGTAAGTCTAATTAAATCTCTTTTTCTTCCCAGTTTTGGGTATGTCTTTATCAGCAGCATGAAAATGGACTAAAGCAGCTTACAAATAAATTCTCGTTATAAAGATCCCTGAAGTGGAGCAGAGAAACATTTGGCTCTTGTTTGGTTGCTTGGTACTAGGAAATATTAGGGAATATTTCAGTGATTTTGTTGTTTTACTAGATTTTAAGTGCCTCAAAGCCAGTATTTTATCAATTTCTTCATCTCCAGCACTTAACAGTGCCCAGCATAAACTAGACATTAGTACATCATGTTGAACAGAGGTGGCTTCAAGTACATTCTTGAGCATAGCAAACACAGCGTTCTGTAACTCAGTGGAAAGAATGCTAAACCTCCAGTCACAGATGTTGTCAGTGCCTGCTATAGCCACTTGCCATTTACCTCGGCACACTGAAGACCTCTTACTGGGATAACTCTTTGATGACTAGATGACTCTTTGCATAACGATTTATTGAGATTATGGGAGTACACTTAGTCCACAGGTAGTAAAAACTGGGAGTCCCAGAGAGTTAATAGTGATAACAGATGGAGAGATGGTAGATAAATACCCCAGCTTTCTTGCCCTTCATGTGGGATAACTCTGATGTGTGTTCTATGCTGTCTCCCAGTGAGATGAGTTCTAAACCTATGGTGGTAACTGATGTAATCTTGTACATTTTATTATCTTCCTTCCCTTCCCTTCCCTGACTCACTTTCTCACTCCTTTTCTGATGTTTCCAAGGATGGTCTTTCAAATAAATTAATCCCAATCCTTATCTCAATGTTTTATTTCAGGGGAACCCAAAACCAAGATACAATCTGAAACACTAATGGGTGGAGTGGTATCTCTTACCTCCTGTTAGCAAATACCAGCAGAATAAGAGCCGTGAAAGAACAACTACTAAAATTTGCAGAGGTGACGGGGTGAGAAAGATTTTCTTTGAGACTGAGGACAATCAGATTTGGAATTTAGGAGTGGAACAGAACAACCCTGTGATGGGCAGGTGACTCCCTGCCAAGGAAAGGAAAAACAAAGGAGACCAGTGAAGGAGATGCAGGAAGTGGCAAAATTGCTGGAGTAGCCCCTCTTGTCCCTGGTCTGTTAGAGAATGAAGAGTTGAGTAATGAGCACTGTTTGGGAAGAGGAAATATGCTGGGTTTAGGGCATGTTGAATAAGTCTGGGATACATTTGGGTGTTGATTTCAAGGTTTTCATGGGTGTTTTGGGGAGACTTATTCTATATGAGGAATCACCAAGGGATGTAAAGTAGGTTCTGATAAGATATGTGGTCAGGGCCACAATATGTACTTGGGTAACACCTCAAAGTAGGTTAAGGACTGGATAAGACTCCACCCAAACACAACCCTTTCAGCCAATTTACTAAATGCAAAAGCCAGGAAGCAGGAAAAATGTAATTTTCTGAACAAGCAGGCAGAGCTTCATATTTTAAAGCATCCACTGAAAGGACTTCAAAGAAGAAACAAGAGAAATGTAGAGACAGAGATATGTAGAATCCAATAGGGTGATAAAAGTGACATATAAAAGAGTGAAAAACATTTAAGATCAAAGTAGAGGTATTTTAATGCAGCAAAGAGATATAGGACACAGCATAGATGTTGACAAGGCAATTAGATCAAGTTATGGTGCAAAAAATCTTGATCAACAGGGGACACAGCTTGCCTAAATTACAATTGATATTTCTTTCCACACTGAGGATGGCTGCCTCCATTGGTTTGCCAATAGACCAGAGGAGGCAGTTTCATGTTTGCACTAAGACAGTCACACCCTGGTAAATAAACAAATGGTGATAACAAAAGAGATGAACAGCTTGTTTCCAACTCTTCACAGGACACTGTTTAGGCTCCGTAAGGAACCTGGTCATCAGGGATGATTATTGCCTAGTCCATCCCTGAGGAGAGATGAAGAGAAAGAGAAGAGGGAGGATGCAGAGGAAAGGGGAGGACAGAGCAGGGAAGGGGGAGGCAATTTTGCGTTTTCTTCAAAATACTACGTTGTATGACTGCCAATAATAAGGCAATACAATTCCAAATAATTTTTTTTTTTTTTGCTTGCTCTGTCCTTTAGAGAATTGAGGAACAATCTAGCAGCCTGTGCCCATAGGTTTGTGAAGTTGTTTTCCCTTTGTTTATCTCATTTTCAAAAATAATTAATTCCCTATCCATCTCACTGCTTTTCTCTTTGCCTTCTTTAAAATTGACTTTCCAAAAGACACAGATCTTTGTCACAAAAAATGAAAAAACATCCAAAGGCAGGGGCTTCTCTTTATTAACGGTGTTTATTAATTAGTGGTACTTTCTTGTACCACTGGGGAAAATAGAATTCTAACCTTTCTTCCTTAAATTTGCACCCTGCAAATACTCTGCATTTTGAGTGAGGCCGCAGTGGATTTCACAGCTCAGCTCCACAATCCCAACAGTGCAGGTTCAGAAGGCCTTTCCTGAAGGCTCCTTTGCCCAAAGGGCTGGACCTGACTGTCTCACCCCAGCTGGCCTTGGCAGGATAGCAGGGGAGGAGGAATTTCTGCAGTTTCCCTGGGGCTATATTTATCACCTTCCTTTTCTCACTGACCTTACTCCACCTTGCTCAAGCAAGCAACTAAGACAATTAGACAACTAAGCAATTAGACTTTGGCAGCTACAATTAAAGAGACTTCCAGTATTCTGAGAAACATTAAAGTTGTAAATAAGATAGTGGTCACCAGGAAATTGATCTGTCTGCTATGGTTTGAATGTCCACTCCAAAATTTATGTTGAAATTTAATCTCCAGTGTGGCAGTATTGACAGCTGGGGTCTTTCATGGGTGACTGAATCATCAGGTCTCTGTCCTTATGAATAAGATTAATCCATTTATGGATTAAAGGGTTATTGGAGTCATGAGTTATGATTGGAGGGCAACTGGTGGCCTTATAAGAAGAGGAAGAGAGATCTGAGTTAGTACATTAGCAAACTCTGTCCCCTTGCCATGTGATACCCTGTGTCACCTTGGGATTCTTCAGTTAGTCCCCCCATCAACAAGAAGGTTCTCACCAGATGCATCCCCTCGACCTTGGATTTAGCCTCCATAACTGTAAGTAACAAATTCCTTTTCTTTATAAATTACTTAGTTTCAGGTATTCCATTGTAAGCAACAGAAAATGAACCAATACAGAAAATTATTGCTTTCTGTGTGATTTTATTCTGTTAATGGAATCATTATTCTTTAGCATTCTACCATCATCCTCATCTCCAACAAGAATGACAAGTATCCAGGGAAACAGACTCCAGCATTGTTACCCACGTGTGGCGGCTCTGCAGCATAATAGAGTGCTTCCTCTTCAGGGAAGAGCAGGGCAAGAGACAGGAGAGTGTCAGGGAGTCTGTAGAACAACAGCCCTTACCAAAAACCTTGATTGTGGTGGAGCTCCTCAAGATTTTGTCAGGACCGACTCTAATGTGGCAAGAGAACTTCCGCCCATCATCGAAGATTTGGACTGGAGAGAGGTGGAGTCTGTAGTCTGTACCAACCTTGACTCTATCTTTAAGTAATGTGGAACTGCTGATGAGGTGATCTTGGGAGATAAGTGTTTGCTGAGTTCCATTATCCTCCTGGTGAGAAAAATCGTTACCAGTTATTGAGCCCTCAACTGTGCCAGCTCTGAACTAGGCATTTCGCAAGCATCGACTCATGTATTTTTTGTAGAGTAGAGAGGAAGAATGAAGGATGGAAATTAAGAGACATTTAGTATATTACTAGAGAAAGTATACACTTGACTTTCAGTTAAAAACTATTGTCACCCTCTCCTAACAAATGGAAACATTCTGTTCTTCTGACTAGACCTTCTCCTTCATAATCTTCTATGAACTGCATATCTGGAGTAGGATTTGGGGGCTGGAATGGGTGTGGAACTAATGGCAGATTTTAATTTTCATTTAAGAAGTTCTGGCATCTTACTGCTAAGATGTGCTGAGAAGACTGTATCAGTGTGAAGATTTCATAAAATCTTCACTTAAACTGGATGATTACAGTTATCCCTGAATTCCTTTAGAAAAGGACTCTCTTCAGCTCCTCCCTGAGCCTGGACTAGGATCAGGTAAAGTGACGTTCTCAAAGTCTTGCTAGTGAAATGTTGGCACCCAACAGTGAGTACCTCCTTAAATTTTGTGCCCTGGGCACCTCCTTGCCTCCTTTCACAGCCTTGTTCTGGTCCTAACCCTATTCTCTTTTTTTCTGTGTTTGTGTTAGCTTCAAAGAGGATGCATGAAGAGTAGGCTGAAAATGTTAATCTGAATTTTGGAGATCAGAGTATATTTGAGGTACTTGGTTTTTCTATCGCATATCATTCCTTCCATCTGTGATGAAAAGCACTATTATTCTGTCTGTGCCTGGAATTTTTTTGGACAAGCTCCCTGGGTTGTCACAGTGTTGATTGATGTCAATAAACGTGCTCACTAGGGGCCCAGTGAGGAGGGGATTCTTGAGGGGCACAGGGGTAGAGGATGGATTAGGTCTTCAGACCCCGTTAGTATGACTCAGCATTCTCGGTTGAGCTGCTTTTAAAACACCTCGATGCACACGCTTCTCTTCTAGAGATTCTAATTTAGTCTGTCTGGGATAAGGCCATGGCTAGGACAGTTGTTTTTAAGGTACTCAGGGGATCCAGGGCTGACATCTACTGGCCTAACTCTAAACAACAGATGAATCCTTGTGCACAGGCATCAGGGGAAATGGAGGGAATTAAAATGGAGAAGGATAAACAGGAATGCATTCAATGGGGGGAAATGTTACAAAATAATGATAAGATCTATGAATTGGAATCTCTAGTTTTAAAAATGAGACAGATCAGGCTACATGAAATGGAAACCCCATTCAAGTATGGGCAGAAACAGAGGAAGGACTAAAGCAGACTTCTTCAATAGTTTAAAGAGATAATTCCAAAATATACTTAGTAGAAACTCTTATGTAAGACACAGTTCTTTAGCTGAATCTGGCTAGGATTTGTGTCAGTCTTACATGCAGATAGTATTGTGTTATTGGCTGCAAATAATCACACTCTGCTGAATTCTTTTTCCTGAAGCAATTTACCTACCTTTTACCCTTAGAAAGAAGGACCCAAGAATCTGTGCTGCTGTTTTCTTTAAAGAAGAAAAGCACAAGAAAAAGGGAGAAAGACTGTATTACAGAGACAGGATCCCCCAGAGGAGCTCTAAGTATTGGGTGGGGACAGGAGAAGAAAGTGGAAAGCATGTCACTCAGCACTGGCAGGTCTGGAGGTCAGTAATTAAGAAGGCAGGTAACCCCTGCAGATCTTTTGGCACAGGTATGTTTGGCAGCCTCTTGCTTTTTTGTGTGTGTCAGGATTTTAGAGTTGAAAATGTTCCTTGGTCATTTAGTATATGACTACCATTTGGAACAGTTCCATCAACTGTCACTTTGTTGTGGGAAAAAGAGCAGTTACATGCTGAAGTTGGAGACTGGTGAGAAAAACCGCTTTTTTCTTTATTACATAGCAGATTGTGACTAGGTGGTTTAGTTGATAGAGAAAAAATACAAAATCTTTCTACTTTATCCAAAGGTTGCTTTTTTCCCCTCGGCAGTTGACTTTTGCAGAAAGAAGGTTTGTTCCTTCATTGGAAAAGATGGGATTCAGTTGCAAAGAACGCCCTGTAACCTACAAGATAAGGAGATCCTGAGACATTCTAGAGTCTTCAGTTATAAAGGGGCAGTAGCAAGAACTTACATATGAGTGGCTGCCTTCATAGAGCAAATGGGAGGAGAGGTGAAAAAAATTAGCACAGGCAAACAACGAAATGCCTAGGGATGGGAGAGGGAGAAAAATACTAATATTATGTTATGACCACTATTAAAATTTCATATTCTTATTAGTCATAGTTTAAATTTATTTAGTACCTATTATATTGTAAGAATTCTGCAAAGTCCTTTCAAGTCTTGTTTACTTCTTACAACTATGTAAAATAAATTGAGGCTAAAAATTTGCTCAAATATCACAAAGAGTAAGAGGTATTTAAGAAACAGCATCAAAAAGCAAGGATGCCCAGAACTGGGGACAAATGTCTCAGATACAATTTGTACTAATAAGAACCAAACTATGAAATCACAATAATAAATTAAAAAAACCTTTCTGAAGTATATAGAGTGAGAAGTTTAACAGAAATTTTAGAAAGCTAGAACCTTTCATGTGAGTTGTAGGTTACAGGGGTGTGGGCAATTTGCTGATTGAAAGGGGCCTTTGTATGACATATTGACCCACTTTTGGTGATAGGTGTTTAGAGCATACCTCAACTCCTACTTGATAATAATGCTCTCAGCTAACCCAGTCTTCAGGAAACAGACTGGTGGAGGCTAGAACCTGCATGTGAAAGCCTGATTTCTACCAGGTTTTTCTTTTCCTGTTCTTCAAAGAAAAAAATTGCTCACTTTAAAAATTATTAATAAGTATTTCTAAAACTTTATGGATTCACACCTTGGTAGACTCTCACATTTTAATGGGAAATATAGATTTCATGAGCTAACATATATGATATACTTACTCTAGTCCTGACACTTAATAGATGTTCAATAACACAAGCTTATTATTATCTAGTCCAGCCTGTGAGATCAACCTGCTATTTCATGAGTATTCATTATGTGCCTGGCTAAATTGAGGAATTATGGAGATTCATTGCTATGGTTTGAATGTTTTTGTCCCTTCCAAAACTCATGTGGAAACTTAATCCCCAATGGCACAGTGTTGGGAGGAGAAGCCTCATGGGAGATCCAAAGGGCTCTGCCCTCATAAATGCATTAATGCCTCTGTACAAAGTGCTTGTAGTAGTGAGTTCTCTCTCTTCTGCTCTTCTGCCATGTGAGGACACAACTTTTTTGTCCTCTCTGGAGAATACAGCATTCAAGGTGCCATCTTGGAAGCACAGAGACCAGGTTCTAACCTGATGGCACCTTGATTTGGGACTTCCCAGCCTCCAGAACAGTGAGAGAATAAATTTCTGTTTATAAATTTCTCAGTTTCAGATATTCTGTTATATGCAGCAGCACAAAATAGACTAAGACAGTTATAAAGTCATGAATAGCTCAATCTGCTCTCTTGCCAGTGTCAACCTTTATACACTAGCCCTTGGGGGACAAAATGGCCATGAAGCCCAGAGACAACAAGTTGATTGAAAATACTGTTCCTTAAACAATATAAATGTAGTAAGGTCTTAAAAACATACAAGCAACAGTCCGCCTTTATTTACAAATTTGATATTTTGCTCATCATGGATTTTCCCTAACTTCTGATTTTTAAAAATATTGTATTAAAATATTTATCTTGATTGCTAATATTTTTGTGCTCCCTTAAATTTTGCTCCCAAGATTAAGAGCCTTACTTGCTTCACTCTAATCCCAGCCCTTAGGTCGCATAGCTAGTAAGTAGTGGAGATCCAGGTCTTGAAAACAGCAATTTCCCTCCAAAAGTTACATTGTTAATGACTTTGCTATATATAGTCTCACAAAAGTAGTAGAAGAAACAGTCTTTGCCTTTCCTACATATAATCAACTTAAGGGCTGAGTTTGGTGGCTCATGCCTATAATTCCAGCACTTTGGGAGGCCAAGGCTGGTGGATTGCTTGAACTCAGGAGTTCAAGACCAGCCTGGGAAACATGGTGAAACCCTGTCTTTCCTAAAAATACAAAAAAATTAGCCAGGTGTGGTGGCACATACCTGCTGTACCAGTTACTCGAGAGGCTGATGTGGGAGGATCACCTGAGCCTGGAGAGGTCAAGGCTGCAGTGAGCCAAGATTATGTCACTGTACTCCAGCCTGAGCAACAAAGTCAGACCCTGCCTCAAAAAAAACAAAACAAAACAAAAAAAACCAAAAAACAAAAAAAAACTAAAAAAATATTAATTTTTAAATATAATTTTTAAATAGATTTTTTGCACTAAAAAAACTACTTAAGGAGAAGAACAAACACACACACACACAAACAAATATGAAAATCAGGAGCCACAGAAAATAAACAAATGCATAATTAAATTATGTATAGGAGCTTAATAAAATAATTAGCATGATAAGGGCTGAAAGGGATCATACTGAATCATGAAACTGCTGTTATATGTCCCTTAAGTACTTGACAAATTCTAAAATAAGTCATTGAGGCTTTGTTTTTGAACTAGAATCAAAATTTTCAATTTAGAAGAGGAATGTTTGTACTACGGATTGAGTGTCGCTTATCTGAAATGCTTGGTATCAGAAGTATTTCAGGCTTCAGATTGTTTTGGATTTTGGAATATTTACGTTATGCCAGTTGAACATCTCAAATCTGAAAATCTGGAATCTGAAATAATCCATTGAACATTTCTTTTGAGCATCATGTGTGTGCTAAAAAACTTTCAGATTTTGGAACATAATTTCAGATTTTCAGACTTGGCATGTTCAGCCTCCTTGATTTAGTGATGATATTTCGTCTCTGAGCTATCCTGAGCTCCTTGAAACCAGCTCCATGTCAAAGCTGGATGCACTGACCACAGCACGTGGCAGGTGCTGAGTGTACAGAGCTCATTCGATAACTGCTGTTAACTGTATTGATTGCTACTCCTTTTTTCTCCAAACTGTTTCCTATCTTCACATTTCCTCCATTTATTCTCCATCCAGTCAGTGCTGTCAAAGCAAGCTGCTTGCAAAGCTTCCTCTGTCCATTTTGTAGACCACCAGAACAATATATTTCTAATCATTGTTGTTGGTTATCAACACTTTGCAGTTCGGCTAGCACTTTATTTTTTTATTAAAGACAATTAGAATCAGCTGCCATCAGGTAAGAGGTTACAGTTTTGTTTTTTGAATAGTGAGGCATCCATAAGCATAACAAACATTGTCTAGAGTACCATTTACCTTTTAACATAAATAGCACAAATATTAAATAAGAGCATATTGAAGATATACATAAAAATTTTAAGATAGATGAGCCTCTGTAGTTATGTGCTTTGGTCACTAATATTGAATTGTTTGAATTGGAAATATTCTTGTCCTTCTCTTCATGATTTTAAAGAGAATAATCTTGAATTTCTTTATTTTCACTGACTTTGGAAACAAATATTTCCTCATACACATTTTCCCATCTGCACTACCAATTTGTACTTAAAGTTCCCAGGGTCTTGGTGTAGTGTAAGTCTGTCTTTTGCCAGCCAACTATTTAATTATCCAGCTCAAATATAACCTTTTCTAAGAAACTTTTCCAGGTCCATCTAGTCGGAATTGAACTATTTTTCCCATGCTGCCATTTTTTACATTTTTATTAAAGGTGTATGTCATGGTAGGAAATATGTCCAATATAATTTTGTATCCCTGCAGGACTTAGCGCTCAAAACAGATTCACATAAGTTTATTGGACTGAACTGAAATTTATGCTGTGGGAAATAAGGACGATAGTTTGCTATGAAAACAGAGTATTATCGTATATTTAGAAGCTTCCAGAATAAGACTGCTGAATTTCCCTAATGACTATATGCTTATGTCCCAGTGCGTAAAATGGGAAAAATATCACTTATCTTTTAGCTTCCAACTGCATCCCATCAAAATATACATATTCTAGGATTTCTTATACGTTACTTCTCCATTCACATAGATGATTAGTCTTCATTAAAGGGTTAACCCTTTGTGTTTACTTAGTTACCCCTCACGCTGGATGAATGTTAGATACACCGTCCATTTGCGCCTGATGCCTGTCTACCTCAGTGTATTCCCAGTCCTGCAATGTACCTTCCCAAAATGCAGAGTGTGTCCCATTAACACATTTAACACAGCCTTAGCATGAGATCAGGCACATGTAACATAAGAGTTTATTTTATAAGACAGAATCCCAATAATAACCTTTCCTATGAGGGTCATGATTGAATTAATTAGCTTTTATAAAATTACACATACAGGAAGACATCACTTTCATTTTTCAGTGACTTAGATAATTTTAGTTTGTAAATTGTTTCCAAGGTTTCGTGAGTCACTTGGGGCAGAAGGCCTTTGAAGCTTCCCAGAGTTCAGTATAGGAAGTTTCTGCTCTCCTGAGCTCACCTTCATCACTTTTATGTTGTAATCTCTTTCTAAAGAGATTATATAATGTTTGTAAGAACAATAGACTTATCATTATGATTATTATTATTAGTTTAAAAAGAGATTAAAGACCAAAAATACGGATTGGCTGGAATATTTGTGTCCTTTGCAGACATGTAGCAATTATGATACTAAGAGTTGTAGCTTATTCCCTAACATAAGTGTTGCCAGTGGCACCAGTTTGTTTTTGACTTCACTGCACAAAAGAATTTGAGAGCAATTTTACTGCACAAAAGAATTTGAGAGCAAGTTCAAAGTGGAAGGAGGTAAGAGAGCTTACTGCGAAGCAAAAGTACACTCACCGCTGATCACAGAGGGCTACTTAAAGGTGAGACCATGCTGACTGACACTAGAGAAACTCCCTTTATGAGTTTCATATGATTATTCATGAAGGGGTAGGAAGGCGTGTTGCTATTAAGCACGTTCTGGATGGTCCTCTGGATGTGCATGTGCTATTTTTGTACATGCTGGTAGATACATGGCATGTCTCATTAACATCTTAAATCTCTACTCATGGGTGTATTTTTTACTATTCTAATGAGCATGGGTCAGCCCAAAGACACTAATCATGGGTTTCTGCACTTGCATGCATGTGGGAATTTTTCCTTTCCGCTCCTTTTCCTCCTTGCTGTAGGATGTTCTAACCATGAGCCCAGGGTGTGGGTTGTGCACTGTCAGGCAGTTTGTTCTCTCCATTTATTTAGGAAGTTTGTTCTCCTTTAAGGGAGACTATAACCACCCTATGTCATCTACTTTATAAGGACATTATTTGGTTTAAGAGACTGGCTGAATCCTACAGCCATCAACAGTGTGGGGCATAGATGTAAATGAGAGGACATTTTGAAAGGACATGCACTATAGGATTTTAATTAGCACATTTGCCAACACCATGTTCCCTTTGAAGAAAGGTTTCTTTAGAAAGATTCTTCAAGTTGTCTGTATCATGGTGTATTCTTTAAAGTGGCAGCATGGCTTGAGGTTCTAGTGGATGTTTAAGGTTCACCCTCTCACTGTGTGACCTTACATGCACTCTCTGGCATTCATTTACTCTAAAGGTCCTGGCAGAATCCAAAGGTAATGTCTATATGGCCTTCTTAGTTTCTTTAAAGGTAGCTACTTGATACACGGTGACTCATCAGTCGTCAAGTCTTTGAGACTTAATGAGCTGCCACTCAGTAAACAATCAAACAGCATGAATTTAGTGATCATCAATTTAATATGAGAACAATGAATAAGACTGTGGGGAAAGAGGACAAATAGAAACAAATTAATTCAAGTATTTATTAAGTATTTATGAGTACCCATGTTCTGGACTCTATACTAGATGCTAGAGATTTTTAAAATGAGCGATACAACTTTTTGTCCAGGAGAAGCTCAGAGTCACATAAAAGACACACACTGAAGGCTTTGCATTTGCTTAGAAAAACAGATTACATACCCATGATACAAGATAAGAACACTACAGTAAAAATATGTACAGTAAAACTTTATTAAACCAGTTGCCATTGTTGGTGAACCTGTGATAATTGGGATAGGAACTTTCTGCTCAACATGTTTGGGGAAAATACTGAAGCAAGGTATGCATTTCATTACTAAAAGGTTTAGTATAGTACATTTCTGTTCTCCTGAAATTATCTCACTTCTTAACCTTTTTCTCAGAAGTATGTTGTATCATGTTTGCTAAGAACAATGGACTTATACTTATCCTAATGATAGGCATAATGTCCAGGAAGCCTTACTTTTTGGAAAGCAAATCCTATAAAAGGGCAAACGTGTTTTGTGACAGATGACAAAGAGACATTCTAGGTTTTACAACCATTTGGGAAAGTTATTTTAAAATATAATTCTTTTTATTACTTACTATCTGAAAAATAGCTAGACAGTGAAAAATTATCAGTAGGTTGTATTTAAAGTTCTTGGTTCAAGTCAATTATTTCAGGTTTGGCACAAACCCAAGGAAATATTTTTATATAGAGGGTCTAGTTTCCAAGACTGTCCACAAAAATCTAGGTAGCTTGTAATGTGAATAATCAACCATCTGAATCACAGTATTTTCCAAATTGTGCCAGCTGTTATATTCATGAGGATCCGTGAGTTTAATAAGAATTTTTAAATCCTGTTTTCATTTTGACAAAAATATAAAAATTAACATACAGTAATCATATTCTGTATCATCTAAATGAATGCCCTGTTATGTGATTCTTGAAATCATGTTTATGGTCACCTCTATAATTGTGTTTGTCTCTTTGTTGTCATTTGTTTTTAACAGTTTTAGGGGTTTACTGTATACACTGGTTAGTAGCTGGCTGCCATTTGATTGACTAACATTAAAATTTTAATGACACAATTCTTTCATATTTACTATTATCCTCATGTTGATTTTGTTTATCTGTTATGACAAAAAGCTCAGACAATTTTAGTTTTTAAGATTAAATTTAGATTTTAAAAATAGACTGATGCATTAGGCAGAATAGTGTAGACTAATGATAAAATAACAAAGGCAGACAAAGTGGATAAATGATGCAGTTATGTTAAGGGATAGGCCAAATTAAATCATAAATCCAATTAGATGAAGATCTGTATAGATGAATTCTGCAGTATTTCAAGGAGAGAAAAGTAGCGGGAGAGTTTAGTTATCACACAGGACACGTTAAGCAACTTAATAGTCAGCCCACCATAACTGCCAAAGTGAATACTCAGTGGAATTTTTAAAATTTATAACTATGGTTATATCTTACAGTGCCTTAGCAAAATAATAGACCAGTATTTATTTTTGCTCTACACATCATTTTTAAAATTGGAAAATTTTTCATAAAAATCCAGATTTCTGGCTTTTTTTTTTTTTTTTTTTTTAATGAGAAGGCATGGCAACTATAGACCTGTGGCCCCCTGTGGCATTAATAGAGCTGGGCAGTGACTGTTTCTTACACAAGTCCTGCTTGTCTCCTATACACAAGCATTATATTTCACAAGCATTATATTTCTTATATTTCACAAGCATTAGAGTCTGTGCTTCCCAATCTAAGCCAATGTTGGATATTTCCCAGGATGCAGTAATAAGGGTTTTTGGAAAAGGCAGTCTGTAGCTCTGCATATGTTGCTTGTGAAACAAGTATTTGTGAGTAGGGGTTTCTGCTGAATATGGCTCCTTTCTAGGGCACTGTCACACTTTGTTCTTTCTGTAATCGTGGTTTGGTATGTAGATAGAAATAAAAATCAATCTTTAGAAGCAAATTTATAAATTAATTCACTGCATTCATAGACTCAGAGACTTGCCTGTGAGAAGGAATATGAATGTCCTCTCCTTCCTTCCCTACCCCTCCTCCCACCACTGGCATAATGCCTGCCTGTCATTTGTATGCTTCCTTCCCTATTATTACTGCTTATTCATTTTACTTCATTAATGTTTAAAGACGATTGCAGTTATTCACTGAAAAGGGCAACACTTACCACCAACCATGCATAGGTGAACTCAGATGAAATTTCTGAGGAGCTATTTCGAAAGCATGGTATTTCCAGAGTCTGATTTATCTCTATTTCTATTGTATGGTTGCTTTTCCACTCATCTGGTGTAACTGTAACAAAACATAAGGTAGAAAATATATGAATCTCTGATTGGTTTGTAAAGTGTTTTTATCAAAGAGACAAAAACAGTTTTAGTACAGGGATTCATCTATCCTCAGGGTACACCTATGAAGCAGAGAGGTGTACCCTCATTGTATAAGTGGCTAAACGGAGTCACTGAGGAGCACAGAATTGTTGCTAAACACTGAAAAATTACAAGGAAATGACCCTAACAGAATCAAACTCATCATTTGGCGTGTTCCTCTGCTTTAGCCCCAAATTGGTGCTTTAATCTTCAAGTTCCATTTCCATGATCAGAGAGAATATAAAACTTCATAACCTAGCCTTAATTGTCTTTTTATTTTGTTGGACTTTATTTTTTAGAGTAACTACTAAAATTAGGTTCACAGCAAAATTGAGCAGAAAGTACAAAGTTCCCAATATATCTGCTTCCTCTACCCACCCACAACCTCCCCAACGGTGGACATCCTGTTCCACAGCCGTACATTTGTTAAAATTAATGAACCCACACTGGCACGTCATTATCACCCAAAGTTCATAGTTTACATTAGGGTTTACTCTTAATTTTATACATTCTATGGGTTTGGACAAATGTATAATGACATGTATCCACCATTATAGTATCATACCTAATAGTTTCGCTGCCCTGAAAAGCTGATGTTTTTACAGTCTTCATATCTAATAGTCTTCTCAGAGCTTATAAACATTCCTCCCACAAAGGAATTACATAAAAATACATAAGGAAACTTTGAGGAAGCAGTGTTAATTATTTTCATTTTTAAGGTAGTAGAAGATAAATATCCATTTTGTAATCTCTCCTATTGGGAAAGTTTTATATACATACATATAAATTTGTGACTGAACTATAACATCAATAAAAGAAATTTATAAATAAAGGCAACTCTATCATCCAAATATCCTAAAAATCTTATATTCTTTTTTCTATATCTATTCAAATCTTGTTTGCATACATGCACGTTTTCTCACAGTCTGCAATCTTATTTACCAATGAATGTTATGTATATTGTTACTTTAAAATGTTTTGTGTGATTCTTGAACTATTGGTGATTTAAATTTATGGGGGCTTCATGTCATTTTATCATATATACTAATCATCATTCATTTAGTCATTTCCAATTATTGAATCATTATGCTCTTTCAGTGTGGATTTTTTACTTTATTTTAAACCATTACATGCTATATAGCAAGGATCATCCTTATGCTAATAGCTTTCTTCTGACCATTCGGCTACTTAAGATAAATTCTCAGAAGTATAATTAATGGATCATTGAGTATGAACATTTTTATTGCTACTAACATTATGTGTGTGTATATATACATATAAAACATATATATGTTATATATATTATATATTAGTCTATCAAACTAAAAAGAAAAGGGTAGGTTATGAAGTTTTATAGTCTATCTGATCAAGGAAAAGGAAACTGAAGATTAAAGCATCAATTTAGGGCTAAAAATATTATACATAAATATATGCTATATAACAGTATACATTTTTAATGGCATGTTTCTCAGTTTATAAATTTTATATCTAGCCTTTAGATCTTTGTTATATTTTAATCTCTTATCAATATCATCTAGCTTCTTTACTGGTAACTCCTTCCTCCTCCTTTTCCTAATTAAAACCAGATCCCCACAGCATTTCTTGCACTCTAATTCCTCAAGTTCTGGAGGTGGGATCAGTGTTTTCTTTGCTCTCCACTGCTCTTTCCAAATAGTACTCTAAGCCCATAATTGAAAAAAAGAACCCTGTCCCATAAGGGGGAAAAAATCACTTAGCTATCACAGCACTTCCAGATGGAGTTGTTTGTATACCATCTCTACTATCATATTTTTTTGCCATATTTGCATATGATCATTACTACTATTTAATTTTATTCTTAAATTATTGTAATTGTTTTACTTATATGTATATATTTCTTTAAAATATACTGAATATCTCTGAAGTCCATGCCATCCAAATGTTAGTTATATTTTAATAAACATCAATCAAATACATAAGTATTATATTTTTGTAAACTTTGTCCCGAATCTGGGAAGCTGGCAGTATAAGTCGCATTACTTTTTGAATATACCAGAAACTCTCTATAAAAACAAAGAAGATAAATAGGGTAACGAAACTAAAACTACATAGACCATATCTACAAGAACACTAAATAATAACACATCCCTCTTAATTGGTGGGGAAAAATCCACTGAACCACTGTGTTATCAGCAACTGTGCAGAAAGAAACAGAGGAAGGTCAACTGGGCTTGTGATGGATCTTAGAACTAGAGAACCCACACCACCTCCCTCTGTCTAGTAACAGGTAATCACTGGAAAGACAGGTAGATTAATCCAAGAATACAAGAATAGTAGCTGAAATGGAGAAGAGAGTTTGCAGACACCAAATCACCAGTGTCTTCAAGAAAAATAAGAAAAAGGTTGTCAGTGCTGGAGCAGAAAGGACTTCTCAGGACACATGCCACGGGGAGGAAAAACTGCTGGATATAGAATCCAATAAAACAGGACAGGTCCAATAAGAGAAATCAAAGAGGCAATTTAGGTAAACGTGAGGGATAGAAGCAAAGGAAATACACTCAGAAAGTACAATGGTAAAAAACTCATCTTTAAAATAACAGAAGAGGTGACTTTAGGGATACTGAACACTCTAGAAAAGCTAGCCTGGCTCACTCTTCTGTGATAAGAATGCATTTAACCTAAACATGAGTAACAGAAAGGGAATGAGATAGAATAACCTATAAAGATACCAGAAGCAAAAAGAGAGCAGAGAACAAAATAACGTTCCTACAACAACGAGAGCATATTATCAAGACATGACAACAAAGTAAATAAAAACTATAGCCAAATTATTCAAAATGAGCTAAAAGAAATAAAATGATGTAATTTGTGCACAATTTTGGAAAGTTCCCAATGAGTCCCATGGAAGAAAAAAGCTTACAAAGCATAGGTAACGAAATTCAAGAAAGGGTTAGAAATAATAATTTTTAAAAAAATCACTCCAGAAATTAAGACAAAATTAGAACAAAACCAGAAACATAGAAAAACAAAAGCTAAGTTCATTTTCAAAATAGAATGAGGGAGATTTTGAAATAAATAAAGCAATATGTAATTATAAAAAAGAAAAAACTAATAAAAGAGATTCAAAGGAAATGATATACAAAGAAGATAAAAATATATGTACAATAGAAAACGTTAAAGAAAAAAGATGAAAGCAATGGAACAGAACAAATATTAAAAACTATAATTCAAGAAAAATATAATAAAATTTAAAATGACTAGAAAATGCACATTAAATGATTATACTGCAAAATTGGAAAATAGACCCAGAATGGACAACTTTAAGTATGTTTGTATAAAAGTATCGAGCAAAGTCAAACATGGGGAAAGAAAATCTGATTGTTATTAGCTTTTTGATAGCAGTCCTATGCCAGAAAACAGTAGAGTAACATAGTTAATATACTCAGGAAAGAAAATGTGAGCCAAAGATTTTATATTCAGCAAAATTAAATTTTTAAAATAAAGACTACAGAAAAATGTTAGAGTTATGCAAGAACTCAGAGAATATTGCTGCTATGAGCATTTCCTGAGGATTCTCCAACAGAATACATTTCAGACTGGAGATGCATTTACATAAAGGTTAGTAAATGTTGATTATGTATTTATCTTTAGCACTAAGAACATGTAATTGTTATAACAAAGGGAATAGCAATGAATATATGTTTTTAAATAAAGATACGATATAAATATCAAAATGTGGGGTGTAGGAATGGAGGACTTCTGGTTATGGGGGCATAAGAAGGTGAGTAAAAACAGACAAGTACAAAACTGGGGAAATGTGTTTGAAAAAACAACAACAATTTTAGGACCTTGGAAATTGACTAAAGGTAGTCATTGAATTGCAAAGCATTTCTTACTGAAAAATCACTAGAGCTTTAGTAAAAACAGCAGGAGACTTCAATCTTTTTGCCTCGGCTCCATCCATTCCCTTCTCCAACTTGGTCATTAAGAAATGTAGTTTCAGCCACATGGAGCTGGTTGCAAAAACCACCAGCTTTTTTTCCGCAATGGGCAGACTTAAATTAGGTCTAGGGGTCGAAATCTTTCACCTTTTCGCGTAACAGGGGCAAACTTGGTAGGTGCCAAAAACCTGAAGCTTGGTTAGTTTGAGTTTGTATTCCCATTTGAGTGAGTGGCTGCCATGATTCGAATGCTTCTCCCCTCTGAAATTTGGTTGCCATTGTGGCAGTATTAGAAGGTGAAACCTTTGGGAGGTGATAGGGCAGAGCTCTCATGAGTGGCATTAATGTCATTATAAAAGGGCGAGTTGATTCACCTTTGTTTCTTGCCCTTCTGCCTTCCACCATGTGAGGATATGGCATTTCTCCCCTCCAGAGGATTTAGCAAGTGGGACCTCACCAGATGTCAATGGCTTGATCTTGGACATTCTCAACCTCCAGAACTGTGAGTAAATAAACGTCTATCCTTTCTAAAGTATCAGTCTGTGGTATTCTGTTAGAGCAGCACAAAACAAAGACAGTGGTAGGCCAGAAGGACCTTTAGCATGGAGATCCTGGAAACTAGAGTCATGGAATGGCTAAGATAAGGGCTTCATAGATTGTACCCTCACTAGAAAACTGCACACTGAGTGGGGGAGACCCGAAAGAGCATAGCAAAATGTAAAAGCCCAGGAAGTCTGAATAACTAGCTGCAACTTTGAATGCACTCCCTGATGGACGCATAAATCTATGTATAAAGAGTGGAAGCCTAATTGGTTTAAGGTGTTTGAGCATAACTTTTGCCAAAATCATTGCTGGACCAATAAAGAGGCTTTGCCAATGCAGGGGCAACTTCTTGTGAGCCAAATTTAAAAATTACTATTAGTATAAAAATCTGAGCAGAGAGATCAATGGCCTTGCACTGCAAAGGAGACATTCAATTTAAGCACAGATAAGTTACTAAAATGAA